TGCGGCTGCGGCGGCTGCGGCTGCGGTGGTTGCGGCGGCTGCGGTGGTTGCGGCGGCTGCGGTTGCGGCGGCTGCGGCGGCTGCGGCGGTTGCGGCTGCGGGCCCGGGCCGGACCCTTAAATTGCACTTGCGGTCAGAATGCTCTCCGAGTGTGCTAAAACAGCCGGCTCAGGGGCTGCGGCTGCTGTGGGGGCTGTGGATGTGGCTGCGGTCCGTGTGGGGCTTGTGGAGCCTGTGGAGGACCCTGTGGTGGCTGCTGTTGTGGGGGTGGGCCGTGTGCTGGTTGCGGTGGCTGCGGCTGTGGCTGTGGCTGTGGCTGTGGCCCGTGTGGGGCCTGTGGAGGGTGTGGCATGCAAATGCAGAGCCCGATGGGACAGTTCGGCCAAATGGGCCAGCCCCAGATGGGCCAGACAGGCCAGGCCCAAATGGGCCAGATGGGCCAGATGGGCATGAAATGAATGTCCTCGCGGCTAGTCTTCTAATCGCTATATATAACCACTCCAGGACGATCCTGTAGTTCTTTTCTGAGGAGCATGCTTGCTACCGTTTATAGTTCATGCGCTCTGCTGGCCTTTGCCGTTGCTGGATGCATGAGATCCAAACGCACGCGCTTGTAGTGCCAGCCATTTGGCCTGCGTCAACCGGTTCACCCACCGGGAAACCTCAAAACCCGGCAATTCGATGTTATCTTAGATGATAGTTCGTCAGCTAGCTGGAATTTCGACCGCCGGTCCGCCGCCAAAGCGCTCAGATGAAGTCGACATCATCGGGCGGTTGAATCTTGGCGCCTCGAGAGAATATCTGATGACCTGTTGTAGTGTAAGAGAACTTTGCAAATTACAAGTGATTTCTGTCAGACGCGCCCACATCTTGAGCTCCAAGCGATTATGGCGCTGCTGTGGGTAGGACATACTCGACGCATCTGGACAGAGTAAAATCCAGACGTGCCTGCTCATGACTCGGGCTCTTTTGCAGGTTTGAAGCCGGAGCCTGCATCCACGAGATTGGCTCAAGGGGGGCTTTGCTGTCCTGATGGTGGCAAGGGTAAAGCTGAGAAGCGGCTCTCAGAGAAATTGGCGAAACCGGCGGGCCTCCTGGTCAGTGGCGGCTGCCTGTTACGCTGGTTGCCATTGCTTCGCAGAAATGTCCAACCGGGCCATCCCACAGAACTCCCAGCGTGATGCCCCACGGGTGCGAGGCATAGATGAAGGCCTCCGACGACGAGGGGAGAGCGGGCTGAGCGGGCCAAGCGGGACAGCCCGGGACGAGGACGACGCGGCAGACGGCGCCGTGCCGTCCTCTTCATCGGGTTACCGGAGCTGTTTGCGGGCCTTGTCCTTCCTGGGCATTCATCGTGCCTGCGGGCTCTTGACAGCACAGAGACGCCGGCAAGACAGAGAGGCCGCGAGTCTCGCTGCGCGGAGCGCCTCCGAGCTCTCCGCCGAGGCGACAGGGCGGAGCCGGGCGGAGCCGGGCGGAGAGACAGAGAGACTGGGCCCCTGGGCTGAGGCGCTGGAGAGCTGCCCGCCGCCGGTCCTCTACAAACAGCCGGGGCCCCGGCTGCACGTTCTGGGTTCTGCAGTCTCCCTGCGCCGGAAGGCGATGGGTGCAGCTGGCCTTCTTAGCCCTCTTTGCCTTGATCAGCGACCTGGTGTGTCCTCCCTACTTGGCACCTTGCCTTGCATCGCTGTGGACGAGATGACAAACCATTAGGTGCTTCAGTGTCGCTGCCACGCCGAGCACTCAGAGGGCACTTGTCATAGACAGTCATAGACAAAATGTGGCACTTCTCATTGATACTGTGCGCAGGCCAGCAACTTGGAACAAGGTTTTCGGACAGGACGATTGAGCCAAGATCGCAGCCTGCAGCAAGTATATAGCATGATATAGCTCGTCAGAGCCATAAGGTCAAGCGTATCGAAATGTTTGTTGCAGGATCCGGCCACCCTAATCGACATCTTTCTGTTCACAAACGTCTTTGCGTGCTTCATCGAGCCATTCGTGCGAAGCTCAGTCTTGCTAAGCTTACGCTTCACGTGTTCCCATCTCGCTGCTTTCCCTACAGATTATCCGCAACTTCGGGCTGCGCATACCCATTGTGGGTGCGGCTCTGTGTGGGTCCTCAGATCTCAGCCCAGTGTGCACAGCGACGGCTGGGGCTTTGGCTTTGAGGCTCATGGCAGTGGGATGCTTTCTACGATCCGGCATGCCCTTCCAGGGTGATGAGCTGCCAGGCCAGGGCGGCCAGGCTCATTGGCCCTGGATCCGGTCTGAGTCTGCGGCTGCAGCTAGGCTACAACACGGTCGTAGCGGGCACCATGTTGGTGGCCGTCTCGACCTTAGCGACATCACTAGCGTCGCTTCGCAGCCCTACCGTAACGTACCGTACCAAGATCTGCTCAAGCCTGCAGGTGGCACAGCCGTTTTTCCAGTGCACACCGCCCCTGCTGTCTGCAACCTGGTTCGCGCCAGACGAGACTCGCCAAAATCTGGAAGGTTTCGGGCTTGTGGGATTCGACGAGAAAAAGCCGAGGAGCGAGCGATGTCTACGGCTGTGGCTATCAACTTCAACCAGGCCATCCTCCTGACGGGGACGGCTCGATCTGCTCGGCTATCTGCTATCCGTTCTTGGCCTGTGGGTCTAAGCGGAGTCAGTTTTTCTCGGCCTGCAAGCACCTGAACAAGTGTGACACTGTCCGCTTCTAGGGTTCCTCCTGGGACACCAGCTGTACACATAACCTTGAATGGGAATCGTTGCTGGAGGTCGGCATCGCTGCTGCCTTCATCGCCGGCGGGGCCATGGGCGGCTCCGAAGCGGGCCTCAAGGCTCATCCCTGCAGAAGCTGACACGTTGCTGCCAATGTACTACTTGCTGTTGCACTAGTGCTTCGTGTGCTGCTATGCCTGCTGTCGCTCAGACATATTTCGTGACCATCACCCTGATTTCCGTGGTGGTCGCTGCAGCGTCGCTGCCACTCGGCTCAGCTGAAATCTGTTGTCTCCTGCATGGTCGCGCATGTCAAAGCAATGAGTGGAGCGGGGAGCTTGTTTTGCTTGCTGAGCTCTGGAGGTTCTTCTTTCGGGAGCGGCCCCCCACGCCACCGCAACGGGCCTATCAGAGACTGCAGATGGAGACGATCCAGAATCTAGGACATACTTCCAAAGTGAAGAGGTACGTCATGCAAAGGTTCATATGCATGAGTTTGTGACTTCCTATAAGGTCGGCATCGGAGTTAGAGAAGTTGCTGGCAGAGAAGTCTTCGGGGGCCCTGAAGACAGAGGCCGTACTATCTGCTAGCCAACAAAACTTGTACGGGGACGCTGTCAGGTCGGAGACGACAGCAAGCAGGCCAACAAGCCTGAGGATAGCTTCCCAATAGAGGCGTGCGGTCACACAGCCCACGACAGGTTCGCCAAGCTTTCATCATGCATGCAGGCCTATCGGCTGATTACCACCCCGGGCTTCCTGCCGCCTTTGGCCGCTTTTGTCACGTCCATTGCTGTCACCAACGTAGTTGGCGCGTTCATGGACCTGGTGCACCCGGCTGTCTTCCTCACTTCTTTCACTTGGCCAGAGCACCGTGAATGTGGTACAGTGCAAACATGGCAATGCACTTATTGAAGCTCCCTGCCGCAATCGCTTTCTCCGTCGCGTAAGCACTGGAGGGGTGGAGGGAGTGGTGGGAGGTCTCAACGAACAAGCTGTGATCAACGTCCCAAACATAAGGCTTGTTAGATCTTTTCCTCTCTTGAGGATCCAAGAACCTAGTCGAGTTCTCCTCAAGGCGCAGATCGGAACCGCCTGCACTCCTCTGAGGCAAGTCGATGGCCATGGTCTTGGCCCCATAAGTGCAAGCAGTTCGACCACGCTCGTTCATGCTGGGTTGCCCTTTTGCGAACTCTTCGTCCAGCTGTCATAGTGGGACTACTTCCGTTCATAGCTTTTCCGAGCCATCTTTACACCGCGCAACAGCGTCTGCCAACTTGCAATGCGCAGTTATCGGAGAACTGCTCTGAGTGTGACGGCAGTCTGTTTGCACCTGCCAACTTTTCATTTGAAGGAAGGAGAACTCTATGCAAGTCCTTCGCGCACTGAAACTGCCAAGCCTGTGCTACATCTTCTTTCCATGCCATGCAGAAGACCAGTTTGTCTGTCCGGAAGCTGGCGTGCACTCCCCCTCTAAACGTAAAGTGGGGTTCTAGGCATTAATAGCCCCGCAGCACGCTAGCGGCGACCAGACAGCGAAGACGTTCTACGGTCACAACAGTGTTGCAGGTGCACAAGGCAACGGTGATCAGATTGTTGCGTTCTGATGTGCTGGAATCTGATGCTGTTCGACCCCTGCAGTGAAGAAGTCATCTAGAACGTGGGAATGCCAGAAGCTGCAGCGCGCGGGCTTCAACGACCAAATGGAGGTGGACATGGCCGGTGCGGGCTTTGAGGTCGCCATCGTGCCAGCACCTTAGCTTCGGCTTCGCCTCTTGAGGATCGCCGTCAGAACTACTTCCGCTCTTGCTCTGCCAGGATTGGTGGCATCATTCTTGGCGGCCTCGTCGACAGAAACAAAGAGTACAAGGTGGGTGAGAACCCAAAGTCTTGCAGTCACGGGTTTCTCAGGAGCCCCCAAGGCTGTCACACTGCCCGAAACGTGTGGCCTGACTGCAGTCCGTGACCCTGTGGTGCATCGCTGCGACGCTTGTGGGAGTGCTCCTGCTCCTCCGGCATCTTATTGCGTACTGAGAAAAGGCATCATTCCCACATGCCATGCCAGGCTTGGCATGGAGTCGTTGCCCAGGTGAGCCGCTTTTGCAAAAGCGCGGCCACGCGAGGCGAAACGTGACGCATGTGACGGGTCCGAGGAGCGCCGCCCTGGCGGCCCTTTTGGCCATTGGCTCCTTCGCAGGTCCGGCCTCGCACCGAGACTCGGAGACTCGCAAGAGATCCACATAGATCCGCCCTTCGGCCGCCTCCGCTTTGCAAGGTCCAACCGATTAATGCGGAGCTTGCAGTGGAGGCCCCCACCTTGCCCCTACCCCCCGCAACGCACAGCGATGTAAGGCCTTGTTGCGATGTAAGGCCTTGTTGTCGAGGTAACGTATCCATGCGACGAGAATGCCATCGAAGCCGTGGCAGTCCCCAGCTGTCAAAAAGACGGAAATGCTGAAGTGGAATGCAAGCCGCCACTCGGCGATCACGCACTTCAGGTGCAGCAACTTTGTGGCAACTTGGCCGTGGCCTGAGGTTTCAGGTGTTTAACTAAAGTTGGCAGAAGTCTCAAGTTGCATCAGCTCTGCCAAAGAATGCCTCTACGGTGCGAGATCTCTGCCCTGCTGGTGCCCGTCTGCGAGTGGGCTGCAGAGCTGAAGATTACCCTTCCAGGTATCGGTGGTGTTTGTGTGTGGTGTTCTTCCTGCAGCACCAGCTCCTGGAGTTGAACTGGGCCAGGTTCCGATGGCTATCTGAGGGGCGACACACTGCTGCTGCTGGCCATCCTGGTCGTGGTGAGCCCCTGAAGAAGGGGTCCTCGCTGAAGGCTGTGATGGTCGCCACTCCGTTGGCCTGGCCCCCGTTTCAGGTGGGCCTATACTTCTCGACCTTCTCCGCTCCTCTGCGCCGGACAGAAGTGGACCAGGCGTGCTGCCGACAGCGCAGTTCACACATGTTGCCATCCAATGCTTTTTGTCAAGGCAAATTGCATCACTGGGGATGAATTCGATGCTGGGGCCTTTGCATGGGTCGCTGATGTTGGAGTACGTGTCCAAAGTGGGCCACTCAGGTGTTGCGCCCCCGAGCAGAATCCAAGTGATGGACTGACTGTGCAGACAGTTGAGACCACGGAAACGCGAAATTCAGTATATAGATATAGATTCAATGTGGATACTGACTTGATCTCAAGGAGTGTCTCCATTTTGTTGAGACACCCGACAGAGCGACGGCAGTACGAGAGCTGAGCTCACTTGACAGCCTACGGGGCCGCTACGGGTGGACTCCGGGTCAAATCGGCTCAAATCCTCGTTTTCTTCTCACCGTTCTCTCCTTGCCTGCCCCCACTGATCCGCTGATGCCCTGGTTGCGTGAGCCGCGCAGGCCCCCAACTTCTTAGCTCTTAGCACTGTATAGCAAGGCCAGATCGGGCATCAGCTCGCAGACGAACAATGTCGTTGCGCTTCTGCCGACAGGATGGCATGAACAGAAGCAGTAAAGCACAGTGAAGCACAAGCTGCGACATTTCATTTCTTAGCATTTTCCAGGCCGAGCTGTCTCGGCAAGTGCAGCGATGTGCCAGCGACACGAAAAAGTTGTTGAAGAGCGCGCTGCCGAGTCACTGAGGTTTTGGGCTTTGCTTCTTTGGGAGATGGCGGAAACTCCCAGCAGGTGTGCAGAGTGCTTCAATATCGTGCAAGGACATCCTCGGCCCGTCCGAGTTGAGAGTTGAAGCGAAGGAGTTCCCCCCTGCGGTTTCGTGCGCTTCTTCATCATCTGAGGAGTTTGCAGCCGACGTCTTTCTCAATAGACTTCAGCAGGCGCTCACGACACCGGCGCGGCTCAAGCCACAAAGCGTGCTCCATGAAGTTACGGGCTGTGTAGATGTCGCCTCTCAATTTCAATGCTGTGGGAGGTTTTCTCCTAGTCGCAGTGTAACAAAAGAAGAGAACTTGAAGTGTGTCTAGGGCAGCTTGGGTAGCTTGGCCTTCCCCCCATGGAACAGCTCGGCTCTCACAGAGTCCGACAAAACCGTGTCGTATGCTGTATTGCTTGAGGTCACCACCTGGGAAGTATATTTTCCTCGATCGGGGAAGACAAGCAAGTCGGGCCTCGCTCAAGAGCACTGAAGGCACCGCTTCCCGAAAAAGCGAGGTCGGAGTGCCTTCGACCCTTCCCCGTGGGCGAGGGGCCTCTCACCCGAAGCTGCTTGGCGGTAAAAACTGGGACCTCCAAAACAAAAAGAGTTGCTCGTCGATTCGATTTCACACATTGCCTGATCTCAGGATGTAGGGAATCTATCTCCGGAGCACGGGCGCCTCTCCGCGTTGCTTGGACAGGGAAGTTGGAGTCGCAATATTGTCGTGATATGTCGTTTTTTTGCTATTTGTGCAGCGTGGTTTCTCCTAGGTGCGACACCGGGCTGGAAGATTGGAAGCGTTGGGGTCCCTATGCCGGGAGCTCGGGGGGTTCACCCGGTGGTCGAAGGCCCCACCGGCCATCACGAGGTCAGCGAGCGGCATTGGGGTACCTGTCGAACGAGCCCAAGATTTCGCGGAGCAAGGGCTTGGCATGTAGGGAAATGGATTGTAGAGGAACTTAGCCAAGTAGCCATCGCAAGGCGAAGACTACGCTTCGCACGGCAACAGTTGGATCTATTTGCCCTTCGAGGCCAAGGTCGTAGGCTGTCATAGGCAGCTGCCGTCAGCTGCCGCTGTGCCCCCGTCCCCGGCCCCACAACTCTGCAGGCTGCTCACTACGTGGCCTACCGCTGGGGCGAGGCGCATCCGGAAAACTAGCAATGGTTACGTAGGCCGAATTCCGGTGTGGCCAGCGAGCAACTTAAGCACAACCCGGTTCAGGGTTCCGCACCCACCCACTCCTTGTAGGGTTTGAGGGCTTCGTAACCACTCACTCCTTTTAGGGCTCAGGGTTTCGCAGCCACCCATTTCACACCCACCCAAACCATTTTAGGGTTTAGGGTTTGGCACCCAATCTCTCCGTTTACTTTTAGGACACGCCTTTTAGGGTTGGAAGGTTTCGCAGCCACCCACTCCTTTTAGGGTTTCAGGGTTTCGCAGTAACTCACTCGTTTTAGGGTTTGAGGTTTTCGCAGCCACCTACTCCTTTTAGGGTGGAAGGCTTCGTACCCACCCCCACTCCTTTTAGGGTTTGGGGTTTCGTAGCCACTCGCTCCTTTTTCGGTTTTGTGGGGTTCGCAGCCACTCACTCTTTTTAGGGATTTTAGGGTTTCAGGGCTTCGCAGCCACCCATTCGTTTCAGTTAGCGTGTCAGGGTTTCGCACTCACCCATTCCTTTTAGGGTTCAGGGTTTCGCATGGGATTGGGGCCACACACTCCTTTTATATTGCTACTGTCAGTATCATTCTCAGTACCATCTGCTATTACTGACATCATGACTGTCATTCTCATTGTCATCATTGTCATCGTTACTGCTGACATTATGAATGTCATTGTCATTGGACGGCCTCCGCTTGGGTCTGTCAAGCCTCTGCCCCGTGACCGGCTTTCTCTAGTCGACCTCGGCCTGGGTGGAGCAGGCCTGCCCGCCGGTCCTTTCTGTACAGCCGGTTTTCAGGGCCTGCCGCTCCCCCGCGTGTCTTCGACGCCGTACGCAGGTACAGTCGCTTTTGTAGGCGCCTTGCTTTTCGTGTCTGCCTGCGGTGGGCCCAGTTCCCGGCGGCAGTATAGTACAGTTTCTCCCTGCCACAGGCTCGTAGCTGCCTGTGCGTACGAACTTCGATATGGGCATTGTTGCGAAGCTTTTAGTTGTGGCTACTACATAGTGCTTTTATTGGTATGATGATACTACACTAAACAATCTAGAATGCGAGCGGATCTCGAGGCCTCGCTCAATTCGTTGGTGTCGCGATAAGAGCAATGTGAGTGAGCTATGAACATAAGGTACCAGAGGCCTGTATATTAATATCAGACTGCGCTATCCCAATACCTTCAACACTCCGGCTTTGCAGAGTGTGTACATGCCTTCAAGTGCTCCGCCTCAAATGCAACTTTGTAGCTCAAAAAACTGCCCTGAGCCAAAGCTTACGGCTCAGTTGTAGACGTCTGATCCAAGTGTGCGAGCCACACCCGCTGCACACGAGCTTTGTTGCTACGTACTGCAACGCAGCTGTAGCAGCTGCGAAATCTTCCATGCAGCACTTTGTGATTATGCCGTTCGTGTTAAGGAAAAATGAAGCAAGAGGATGCAGCACAAGAGCGGGGACGGCATCCAATGAGGCTACAAGTTCTGCTGCAGGAAACCAAAGTTGGCCACGCTGCTGTACCTGAGAATCAGTGATAACAAACGTAAATCGGACATCTGGCATCCTCGTTGCGCATGGTTGTCCCCGGTGTTGTTGACCAGCAATTCACAATGTCGTTAGGAGAGCAGTGCCGGTGACATCACATGCCAGTGAACCAAGCCAATAGCCAGCATCTTGCTTGCGCATATGCACCGTTGCAGCAATCTGCGCGTGTGTAGTTCACAGCTTCACACAGCCAGCAAGAGATATCTGCCGTCATCCATCAATGATTCGCTTCAAACCTCTACATAGTGCCTCTATTGAGTATGCGTATGTGTACGTACGTGTGTGTGTGTGTGTGTACGTACGTGTGTGTGTGTGTGTAAATGTGTGTACGTACGTGTGTGTGTGTGTGTGTACGTACGTGTGTGTATGTGTGTGTACGTACGTGTATGTGTGTGTGTGTGTGTTTGTGTGTGTGTGTGTGTGGGGCGGGTGGGTGCACGCGTGCGCGTGCGCGATTGCCGTGAAGTGATCTGATCCCAGCGCCCTTTCAGAGCACAGAGCACCGTGGCAAAGGACGGCCTGGCTGGCTGGTGTGACCGGTCCATGCATCTTTGCTTGGGCTTGGCATTGTGGAACGGCAAGGCACGGGCGACTGTTGAGACTACACGAGCCTGGAATCTTTGGCAGGCTTGTGTGTTCTGCATGTGAGGATCCCATCCTCAAGGACAGGGCCAACGTTGCAGAGTGCAGTCCGGCATCATTGGACATGGGAGACCCAGACCCTTCCCTGTGGCAGCGTTTCGGCCATCGGACAGAACATCGTAGCTGCTTTCACAAGCTGTATCAAGCTGTGCAAGCCGGACTCAAGGCCCCAGTCTAAGCCAGCAAGCTAGTGACAGCTAGTAGGAACCTTAGTTCGAGACACCTTGAAACCTGCAATGTGGTGATGGCCTTTGATTGGCAAGTCTTGCGGAACCAAGTCTTGGCTTTGGCACTGAACCTACAGACCCTCGGCTTGATGCCAGCATCTTGCCGTCGACGTGTTAACCGCCAGACCCAGGATTTGGTTCGTTCGCCAGGCCGTGAAGAGACACTTACTTGGGGAGGTGGCGCATCGCATGTCAACACCTCCGATAGGTACTTCGGAGGCCTGCCCCACCCCTTTTCACAACAAGCGCAGAACGGGCGAAATTGCAGGCAGACAGCGAGGAGACCACGCTTCTGAACAACTAAATTCCAATGCCTCTGCTTGCTCTGGCAGAGGACCGATGTGTGTGCATCGAGATCCTGGGGCCTGGAGGCAGCGTCTCTAATTGAAAGCGGTCTGGTGAGCCATGTCAGGAGGTCCTCCGGGACGGAATCCGCTTGAAACACTAAGCACTGGTTGTTTGCTGGCTTCGGAGGTGTGGACCAGCTGCGAGCTTCATTGGATTCTTGGGCTGTGTGCGGCTACAACTTGATGAAGGAGAGTGAGAGAGCACTTATGGGAGCATTGCAGGTGCATGTGTGCTTGCGGACGCATCAGACCGGCCTGGCGTGGCTCACTGATCAGGACTTCGGCAGCCAGCGGTTAACGTGTCCTCCTAAGCCTCTCCGACCTGATCTCGTTGTTGTGCGAAACAAGGCCAGGGCCTCCAGTTTGCGAGCTGTCCATGTGATCACAGGAACCCCGTTGGAGATTCTCCAGGCCTTCAGTATCAACTACGCAGATGTCTGCATTCGATGGGGTTTGTACGAGTCGGCGCTGCGCTTCGTGGGATGGCCCATCGTCCCAGGCTTCGACCTCGCAGGTCCTCGGCAGAAAAAGAGACGCTTGAATCCTCAGGGCCAAAGAGTTCTGTGAGGTGAGGTGGAGCTGGCGGGCGAGGACTCCGGCCTCGTCCCGGGCGATCGGGTCTTCGGCTGCAGCTTCTTCGGTGCCTATGCGACTCGCAGCTCGAACAAAACAGAAAAACGACCACACACGCCGCACCACAGAAAACTGTTTTGTTGCGACTCTCAGAGGCGTCGTGGTGCCCAGAAGCCAGCTCGTGAAGATGCCGAAGGCCGCCTGCGGCCTCTGAAACTGCGCCCCTTTCCTTTCCGCTTTCCGCCCTCGCCTGCCAGGGTCTGGGCTTCGAGGCGGCGGCCGCCTTGCCCTGCGTCTTTGCCACGGCGCTGCATGCGGTGCACCTCTCCGGGGCTTGGCCCAACGAGCTTCTCGCCTCAGGCCCGCAACACAGAGACGGACACCTGTAGACGCTAGAGTCCGCTAGAGTGGACTCTAGACGAGTAGTTGCTTGACCTTCAACATCACGTAGTGTGCATAGCAAGCACTGCCCAAGCCCGCATTCTGGTCACGTATGCCTCGCTTCGGCAGGCCGGGACGCCTTGGTGCACTCGGCTGCAGGAGGGGTGGGCGACCTGCTCTGCCAGGCCTGGGAGTCTGACACCATGCTACTATGCAGCTACCATGCTAGAAGTTACTACTTGGCCAGTATAAAGCTTCTGAAAGCTTGCTAGATCGATAGCCACATCGTCACGTGCCGGCAGGATCCTGCGCATTTGCGGGCTTCGTGTGGTTGGCGTCGTCGGGCAGCCAAGCAAGGTCAAGTCCTGCAAGGCCCAGAGGGGCGAGATAGGGCGAGTAGCCTGGCCTTCGGCGACCTCGGCGGCCTAGCGACTGGCAGGCGGATGTCGTTATCGACAAGTCCAGCGATGACTGGGCTCTTCGGCTTTCGGAGCTCTTCAAGACACCCGCAAGCAATCCGACGAAAGCTCAGGTCAAAGCAGCCCGGCAACATGCGCCTGAAGGCTACCGTGCCATTTTCGATGCCAATGGCGTCGCAACACTTAAAGACACCCGGCAGCGAAGAAACGCCAAAAACATCGCAAAGACAAATCAGCTACACGAGAGCTCGGGATGTGTGCCCGAGGCCTCCTACGAGCTCCTGGGCAAGAACGGCAGATTGGTCGTGTGGGGCCTTGAAGGTAGAGCTTCTCGGTTCGACTAGTACGAACCTCCTGGCCAGGTACGGCTTCCACTCCAACCTTCCGAAGTGCGACGGCGGCTTGGGGACGCTTTCGCCCTGGAACTGGCTCCGCATGGCCGTTGACCTGGCCAGGACACCCCGCTTCGATGCTTGGCAAAACCCTGATGTGCAAAGTTCGCGCAGTTTTTCTGAGCCACAGCCGAGGATCCCATGGACCTGACGCTGGACACCAAGGTCCAGCCGGCGATCCAAAGAGAGAGCGTCAGAAAGTGCGGCGGTTGTGCTGCTCCTGCTCCCTGCCTTATGCAGGCCGTGCTGGGATTCAACTTGCCCCATGCCCGCAAGAGGAGGAGGGAGTCCGAGGAGCTTGACAGCGTTGCTGATAAGGAGCTTCTTTGCCGACGAGACGGAGACCTGTGGGAAGTACTTCAAACAGATGAGCGAATGGCTGGACTGCGGCAAGATCGCAGCCGCTCAGCCTCATGTGAGAATAGAAACTAGCGAGCCCCCAGCCCCCTGCCCCAGCCTGCAACTTGACGCAAGTTTCGACATGGCGTCCCCTGACCGGCAGGTGCCACCGGTGCAAACGTTTGGCTTGTCAGCTGCACGGGACGCACACAATGCTTTGACCTCCGGGCGTAGTGTAGGCAAGCTGGTGGTGGTGACCTGACCGATGAAAAATGAAATCGCTGCGCGTTGCTCCGCTATCCGCATTGCCTTCATCTGTGATGTGGACCAAGTCCATCCAAGTCCATCAAGCCTTGGCATGTCAGGAGCGGCTCTACGGCTTGTCAAACCCGCAGGGTAATCACGGTGAGGATGTCAAGGAGACAAGCAGCTTGGACATGCACATCCGTCCGAAGTACTCTGCCCGCGTCGTTTGGCGGCTTCTGTCAGGAGCTCTATTACTACTTGGATGCCACGCCCACACACAGTTACATGAAGATGATGTACAAGTATCCGCAGGCCCGCAAACTCAATGTCAGGAAAATGCCTTGACGATCGTAATCCAAGCAGGTTGAGTATCCCTACGACGAGCTTCGACGAGTGAACTTCGAAAGAAAGAAGGACCCGCAGCTGCTGTGCCTCGGCCGATTAACGGCTTTGGACCTTCAATGCTGCAACGGTCTTTACAGTTCTTCACTACAAGAGACTAGGGCCCTAGGGCCACTGTGCGGGCAGTCGCAGGGAGTACGAGCTGCTCGACACGGGGATCCTGGATGACAACAAGTACTTCGACGTCGTTGTCGAGTGCGGCACCCTGCGCAAGCCTCCTGCATTCGGAGAGCTCTGCAAGCCGCAGCCGCACAAGGTATGCCCAGGCCGACCTGGACGATACACTGGTGCCTTAGCCGCCCTTGGGCCGGCACCCAATGCCGAAATGCGTGCAGCGCGAGGTGCAGGTCACAGCCTACAACCGCGGGGCCGAGGAGGCGGAGCTGTGCCTGCTCCCACAAGCCGGGACCCAAAACGAAGCTTTAAAGCCTGAGAATTCTATCTGCGCTATCTGCAGCTGCAGGCATGGTTTCGAAACACCTGGTCCTGGACGAAAGAGAACCCCCGGCCGAAGCCTACCATGGCCTATGTTCCGGAGAAGCAGAGAATAGAACTCACGTGCAGCCGCCACGGTTTGCACAGGGTGCCATTCGAGGCTTCAGACTGCAAGAGCAAGTCGACAGATTCTCGAACAGAGGCATCAGTCGTTGGGCAATTTCCATCTCTACGTGGATGAAACGATCCCATCGGTAGAGGCCGGAACCCCCTTCCAACACGTGTTTACAGGTGCTGCTCTATAACGGCAGGTGATCTTCTGCGAGAACGAGACCAACGACCTCCGTGTTAGCACAGGAGGTGCAAGCTCCGGGAGGGAGCTGCAACCGCTCTACTGGTCCTTTCAACCATGCAGGGTGGCAGATCCGAGCATCGGACGCGGTAGCACTTGTGGCAACAGCACACAGAGCCAATCTCTGATCCCGGCCTCAAATGACCCAAACACAAATCCCAGTGCTGTCATGGCAGAAGCCGATGTTTCAGTTTGAAGCCGGCAGTCAGCGGCTTCCAACGCACCCGACACTGAGACGTGCCTTCGAATGCAGTTTGAAGCCGATGTGGGAGCATGCTGTCCTGGGAAAGCGAAGCAGTTCGGAAAGTGTGAGACCTTCTCGGGATTCAATTCACATGACTTGGTCATTCAACGTGTTTTTTTGGCAACTTTGACAACACAAGGCCATCCTCGCTTGGTATCACCAGCGAAGCACGTACTGCCAACACATCGGCTCAGTGCCGGCAATACAAGTCGTCAAGATTGACCTGGCGTAGCAGACGTGGTTCTCAGTGCGTGATGAGGGGATGCGTACATGACAAAGACTCACTCGAGAACACAGCAGCGAGCATTGTGTCAAAGAGCTCTCAGGTTGATGCTAGGCACTTCTTAACAACCTGGAGGTGACGGGTTGCTATCTTCCGGAACGGAACGTAGGGCGACTTTCGCAGCGTCAATCTCAACACAACCGTGACTTGCGATACAAGCTTGCGCAGCAAGGTGGAAACAGAGTTCCAATCAGGGCACTTTGCCCCTGAGGCCACGAAGCTCCCACCCTACACAAAAAGATCCAGAGTAATGCTTCAAGAGCCCTCCTCACAGGGATGTCATAAGAAAGGCCACCAGGGCGGCAAGTGAATGGGACAAACCCAAGTTCCTGCGCTGCTCAGAGATTAATTGAGATCCTTGAACCTGTAAATCACATGGGCGATTGTTTCGTTCGATGCATGCAACTCGAGTGGCCATCGCCGGAAAGCGGGTTTCTTGCGGGCGGGTGGTCAGATGGGCCGGGCACTTGCACGTGCACAGGTTTGTACACATGCCTGCACTTGCACAAGTGTGCATTCATCTCTTTGTCTCTCGCTGCTTCCTTTAAATCCCATGTCCCTGCCCTTTTTGCATGCTTCGCCTAGATTGCATTTGACTTCTGTGAGTTTCCTCGACATGTCCTTCACGGCAGGTGCCCTGAGCCCCTACAAGGCACGAGTTATCCAGTTCTCCACGGCGATTGCTCCCCAGCACTTTGTCGTGACAGGAGCCAGCGCCCGTAGAGAAGAACGAGGTCCCCGGATGAGTCAATGAGTCACTTCGTGGGGCGTTCTTCGACCAGGCGCTTATGGCCCTGGGTGATTTCCGCTGTCTGGAACCCAATGCTTGGTTTGGCTTGTGGCGCCGCTTCGGTGGAAACCTGGGCCCGGAGCCTGCCAAGCGTGCCGGGATGCCAAGATGCGGGCGGCCGAAGAGCTTTCCGCCAGTTCTGCTCGCTGAGGAGCAGGAGACGGGACTGGACCAGGGTTTCCCGCACCACCTCAGTGGCGGCAAAGGGCCTTTCAAGGACTGCCCGTTGCACAATACTGCACAGCATTGCACAAGCTGATCTTGCGCAATGTGGCAGGACGGTTTCCATGATTACGTAATTCGCGGTGACACGGTGCGCCGCCAGTTGTGCTGCACAACAGACGGACATCTTCCTGCTCTTACAGAGTCGCTGTGTACATTTGAGGCAGCAGTGTCAAGCAGCAGCGGGACCAAAGCAGGCCTGTTAACGAGGTGGCGAACCTGTCCACAAAGTCATCGCTGAAGAGTTGCATGTCGTCGCAATGTACAATCTGTCATCGCCGAAGATCGTTGTCGCACTGGCGTGATTCCCAGGCACAAAGTGGCCGCAGGCAGTCACGTGAGCTTCAGAGTGCGATTGACCTGCGCCGAGAAGAGACGGAGCCTTACACGGCCCGGACGGCCCACAGCCGTGGTGGGTTCAAGGGTGTGCGGAAACTTTGCTGCGAGGCTTTCCCCAAGGAGCTTTCCTGGACTTTGACGCCACCTTCCAGTCCCGGAGAGAAGAGGCGGACAGGCGCCGTAACAAGCATTAGGGCCTCATTAGGGTCTAGGGCTCGCTCGCGTCGGCCCCTCTTTGCTCTCTTTGCTCTCGTTTTGCACCGGATACGGTGTAGCAGCAGGTCACGTCATGCTTGGTACAGCTCTCTTGTCCCATGGCAGGTTCTATGGTCTTGTACAGGAGGACATCACGGATTCTGAGCGACGTCTCATCCATCGCCAGGTCAACGTGGCACGCGATTCTGCTCTGTACTTTTTCAGCACTCAGCAGCCACCAGTGGTGAAGCAGCATGATTCCCTAATATGCTGGATGCATGAAGTTCACGGTGTCCTATTGGAGTCATCAGTACTGAAAGCGGACAAACCATGCCATCCCGAACTAAGACTCCGCCAGCAGCACTGGCCTCCAAAACAGAACATGCTGACCTGCTTGATGCGTTGGAAAATGCAGCCTGTTGCCAGGCTCTCGCAGGCATGGTCTGGACCAAGCAGCACCTTGGCCTTTGTTTCGGAAGCGACCTGTGTGATGCAGTGCACCACCTTGGGAGGCTATACTATTACGACATTCGAACCTGGCTTTCAGGCAGATGGCAGCGACATCGCAGGGTCGCAGAGCCATAAGACTGGAGCGTGCGAGGCGACAAGGGTCGCGGAAGGCCTCCCAGTCGTGGCCGGGGCCTTAATGGCCGCGGTTTGAGCAATGAAAGGTGGCTAAAATTGAAGACAGGTGGTCGCAACGAAGACTGGGACCACCTTTACAATGCTGACGTGATCTCGATGCCGGTGCCGCGCGCACAATTCTTGCACGCAGTCTTTTCAAGCAATCGTGTGTCAGCCGATTGGAGGACAAGTGGGAATATCCCTGGTATGCTACCTGGGTCTGGGCCCTGCAGTTTGGGGATATGCTCAAGAATGCTTCGGCACTGAGGATTTGGCATTCCACTGTCTTCCGCTGGCATTGGTCGATGCTCAGTTTGCGAAGGCCGAGTAAAGGCACGTGCGAGACGGATTTGTGAAAGTAGACTTGCCAGGAGCAGCTGCGGCTCATAACCTTGGTCTCACCGGCTTGATTGTCATGCATCGTCGATACAGTAGGCCCCTTCTCTACATCTTTGCAAATCTGGTCGATTGCAGGAGAGGCCGCCACCCCAGCAAGTGCTTCACATGGGACCTTTTTGCAATATTTCGGATACCCTTTCCAGATGGAGCTTTGAGCACTTGGCAGCAGCGATCGCAGCGATGTTCAGGTTTATGCACCCCAACGGACAGTTCCCAGCCTATGAGTGGAATTTCAACGATGTGAACCCACCGGTGCATGCCTGGTGGCCGAGTTCGTGTCAGCAAGAGAGAAGAGAGAGAGAAGAGACAAAGAGACGCACGACACTGCCATTACTTGTGTCAAAGAGTATACGCTCGCCAGCTTATGGTCACTTTCCATATTATGGGGCTCGCCAAATTTTGCGATGCTCAAGCAAGTCCAACAACTCCAATTTCGATCGCACGAAATGCCAGCATCCCATTTTGTTGAATCCATGGCTGGAGCCGGCAGGTGTTTTTCGGTCGTTGGGTTTTTTCGTGGCAGCGGAGCTCCAATACGGAGCTCTGGGTAGGAGGTGGCATCAACGGTGTGGAAGTTCTGGTCAGAACTTACTTGAGGGGCCGGGAAAACATGAGCCATGTGGGTTCCTTTGTGCGCGACTCCGTGGGCCGCGAGTGAGAACGGGTGGATACTGACATCGATAACCTGTCGACGGTGACTGTGCTGCCAGCCGACCTTCCCAGGGCGTGAGTTCGGAGAGATGGTCACCTTCAGTCAGTGAATGGGTCACTGGACGGAAGAGACCTCTGAAAGAACGCCGCTGCCGCCAAGCTTGTCGTCAGCATCGGGAGGGCTGAGGTCCTGGGAGTGGTGAAGCTACTTGGGCTGCCCACCGGGATACCCCCGGGTGGAGGCATCGATACGGCAATTGGGAGACGAGGACTCCTACATTCCGGAGTGCCAGCTACGAGGACTCCTGACATTCCGGAGTGCCAGCCACCTGAGAACTCCGGAGTGCCCCTGCCGAGACTGTTGTGCAAGAATGTACCGATGCCAAGGAGAGCCCAATAAGGGAGGCCCGAGTACACGATCCTCCCCGTGCGCATGTACCCGATTATCCGCAAGTTCACGTACCCGATCAAGGAAGCGGTCGAGTACACGATCAGCCGCAAGGACATCAACCGGATCAGGCCGAGGACTTCGCAACGATCAGCCACAAGGGCATCAGCCAGATCAGGTTCAAGGACCATGAGCCAGATCAGGGTCGAGGACAGGTGGCAGTTAAGTCCAATGCTGAAGCCAGGCGACTCGTGGAAGGACTATTGGCGGTCAGTGGAGTTCTTGTTGGCGATAGAGGGCAAACCACCAGGTGTGCGGGCCACGCGGTTGATGCAACAGCTGCAGGAACGAGCTGGCAAGATCGTGAATCAACTTAGAGTCGAGGATGTGACGGGCCGGAATGGCGTGGAGATGATCCGCATCAAGTTGGTGGATCACAAGGAGATCGATAAGAAGCCGCAGAAGTTCATGCGACTGTGCCGTTACTCGAAGGAGTCGTTTTTGTCGTTCACCCATCATGCTTCGATCTACAGGTACCCTGTCACAACTACCGCGTCGGGACGCAGAGGAAAGCTGCTCTTCGAGAAGTGCAGAGAATGAGGAGCGTAGCCGCGAGGATGAGACAGCTTCTGAAAGCTCGATGCCGGCTGAAGTTCATGCGCAGGAGTACAGGGCGGAGAAAAAGGTGAATGAACTCAAGCAAATGCAGCAACATTTCAGCGTGGCAACTCCGAGAAGACTAAGGCTTGGTTTCGTGAACAGCAGAAGAAAGAACCCTGCTTCTTATGCCTTATGCGAAAAGCTGGGACATTGGAGCCAGGAGTGTCCTTTGAGGCAGAATGACAAACAGACCAGGACAGTGGAGCGTTCTCGAGAGAGAGCATGGCGCAATACACGAGTGCGATGCCACCTGTGTCCAATGGTCGGGGATCTGATTGCTTTGTGACTTTAGCTCGTTCAGCCCTTGCGGCCGTAGATCATGAAGCCTTTTGGGCGAGGCCGGAGTGGGTCAACCAAGACATTGCACGGCTCAGGGACATGGGTAGATGGATGATGACCACTCGTGAGCGAGACAGTTTTTGTTTTGGTTTGGTGATGGCCACGAACTCCTTAGCGAGTATGCTTTCGTCTTTGAGGCCACGGTGTTGGGTGTGAGAGTGATTGTGAGGCTCAGTGCGGTACCTCAGGAACGCCCTCCACTCCCCTCGAACCCAGTGTGTACTCAGTTGGGCATCATCATCATCATCATCATCATCAGGTGGCGTCAATGAAGCTTCGAGCGTCCCGCTACGGGTTGTCACAGTCGTCCGATGGACACTAAAGGTGATACCGGTTGCCGAGTCGTTCATGACATGCACCAGATACATGAACCTCAGACACCCCCACACCTTGAAGCCGTCCCGGTGTATGTTAACGAAAGCCTTGAGATCTCACTCAACGAAAAAGGTTCTCGGTCCGCGACAGCGTCATGCTCGCTGACGTGACAAAACGGTGAGTAACACAGCGGGGCCGGGAACCAATGGGCCAGCGGCCAGCGTGGGAGTTTGTCGTCCGTCGGGCGGTGTATGATGCTCGTGTTGGTGCAAACTTGTTGGAAGTTGGAAGAGTGTGTGAGTGAAGCTACTCCGACCCGGCAACCCTTACATGGAGTCCAGCCCAAGAAGCCTCCTGTTGCTGTGGGACCACATGGTGCTATGCCCGCGCCGCAAGGAGCGCAACCACGAGGCGCCGGAAGAAGCAGAGGTGGATGCGAGCCCAGTTGCCCGACCAAAGCGACGTCACGACATGTTGAGGACGTCTTGCAAAAAAATGTCGGTCTCGAAGGCGAAAGACGAGGGACAGTCCGAGCCGGACCAGCATCGGCAGTGAGACGCAACGTTCCGAGCCACCCGAAGAGATTTGGCCGATTGTTGCGGGACAGAGCCAGGTCGAAGTCAGAGCGAACGGAAAGGAATGCCGCCACCGAGAGACAAACAAGATCTTCACGAACCGATGAACCTAGTTCGAAGGCCCCAAGCATCCCAGAGTCAACGGCCTGCAAGCACATGGATCCTACCTCGATCAAGGTCGAGGGCTCGAAGGCGGCAAAGGCGGACTGGCCGGAACGAGTTCGGCTAGAACAGCATCTGATCGTCTTCGACTGCTTAACTTTCCCTCTTGATCAGTGACAACATCCGTTTGCAGTAGTCCGTCCTTAACACACCCAAGAAGTTCACTTCTGACGGCTAAACACGCATGCCCCCAACCCCATCGACCATTCCATGCTAATGTGTTCGAGGCAATCGCTTGCTTGAAACACTCTAATTGCCTCAAGGTAAATATCCAAAACAGAAACCCAACTACGAGCTTGTTAACCGCAACAACTTGAATATACGCTATTGGAGCTGGAATTACCACGGCTGCTGGCGCCAGACTTGCCCTCCACTTGATACTCATATGAGGGTTTACATTCTATTCACTCCAATTATAAAAACAAGACATGGATGCCCTGTGTTGTT